CAAAAAAAGTCAAACGTTTTTGATCAACGTTTGACTTGAGTCTTTGAGCGACACATGTTCAAAGCCCGCTCGGATAATTGATGTCTCTCATTTTTTTGCAGCGCTGTCATTTTGATGGAGTGAGACGTGGCTTCCGACTGATTTGGTGAATCAGCAATCGCCGTCTTGGCATCCGCTGCCTGACCTTCATCGTCGTCGTCATCCAAGCGCCAAATGGACGCCATCGACACCTTACGGAGCTCCGCCCCGGAGACCAAAGCCGAACGGATCGCCCGCTACAAAGCCGAGCGGAGGCGGGAGCTGGCCGAGCGCTACGGCGCCCCTGACGAATTCGCCTCCAAGTACGTCCGCAGTCGGGAGAGGAAAATTGCGGATTCCTCCGAAACGGCAGCCAAGGAGAAGGAAAAATGGGAGGACGGCGGGTCGGAGCAAACGTACGCCAGGAGAGGCCCCAAGAGTCAAGTCGATATCGAAGCGGATTGCGGGATGGAGAAAAGCGCTTTCCTGAAGCGGGGCACTCGCGTGACTTCTGACACAGAAGTTCAGCCTTCCATCGAGACGTCAACCGATATGAGGTGAGTTAGTTTCTTTTGTCACCGGCCTGGGGTTGATGCAAAATACTTTTTGGATCAAATGGCACGCTGACATTGGCCCCCTAATTTGGCTCTTCTTCTCAAAAGCCGTGCTGATCTTGATTCCAAAGCAGAGTGATGAGCTTGCATCGCCAACCGTCGGCGGGGGTGCTTGCCAAACGCAAACGTTGTTGGTGGCCAACGTTCCAGTTGACCAACACAAGAGATGTCCACAGCAGCGAATGAGTCGACGCAAAAGTGGAAACGTTGCTCTTTGGCAATCGTTTCAAGACTTGTTTGTGTGGCGTTTCCCAAAAGTTGAATGAGGAATGGAGCAGAGCAGACGTTGCCCGCAATAACGCAGCGATCTGCCAAGAGTGGGTGGTCATGATTTCAGGTGATTGCTCAACGTGCCTCCGCATTTGCCCGGGCGCCTTGCCGGGTCCCGGCAAAATGCGACGTTGCGCAACGGTTAAGCCTCGGCGTAAACACATCTGCTCACATTTCCTAAAGTGGCCATGCGCTGGGAGCGTTATTTATTTTGCCGCGCCGCGTTTTCCTGTACGCGCATGCGAGAAGCTCCTCCCGTTGGACTCGGATGTCCCCTGAGGAGTCCCGACTTGAAAGATTTTTCCGAGCGGTCGCGTTGGATGGAGTGAAACGTGTTGAGTCACGGCCCCGCGGGTCTTTGAGCCGCAATCGCGGATTCCGCAATGCACGCATAGCCCGACTTGTCTGTTCTGGATGGAAAAAAGAAAAAAAAAAAGAAGTGTTGAGACATCATTTGGGGCTTGCCGGGAGAGTGGCACTACAAGTCTGCCAAGTCTTCATGCCTGCTGGTTAATCAAGCCCGATATTAGGAGAAGCGTGATTGATGAGCCGCCGAGTTTGGTTTTGTTGTTTTTTTTTTTCTTCTTAATCCGAGAAAGATGGGTCCCGACACGAAGCGGTTACAGTAAATGCTAGTCAGGAAAGGATTCTCACACGGGGACTATTTCCTCAGCTGCGCTTCGTGTGAAGCCACACCTATGTGAGCGGCACATCTGTTGGAAGGAAGAAGGATACGCTGCACTTGGGCGCAATTCACTTTTGGTCAGCGTTCAACTTTTTGGCCCGATCGAATTGAGTGGAGCGATGCCCCCCCCGAGTTCACTCGCGTGATGACAGCCATGCGCGTAATTACTGGCCCTTGTATGGCGAGATGTTTGCGGGCCCGCGCGACCAAAATAGCACCGAGGAAACAGGAGCTCCGTTACCCCAGCGATCATCCAAACTTGTCAGTTCACAGCTTTATCGGCACCAAACAGCCGTCCTTCTATGTGCAGCGCCACACAACACGCGCGCAACTCGCTCTTGTCTAAAATTGGGCATTTGCATGATGCTCCGCGATATATTTGGAGCTTCTTAAATGTACCGCACGTTTGCTACGTGCGAGCTGCCCGAGTGCACCGCCACGGTGCGGCGGGATGTCACCCGAGGCAGCTATTGAAGTCCAAAATGGTCGTACTCACGTTTGGTTTTGTTCTCGTAGTGTCACGTCATGATCAGTCTGGCGTGTTTAAGTGATGGGGTTTTTTTTTGGGTGTTGACGCATTGTCGCTCGGGTCAAAAATAACAAGGACAGAAGAGAAGCCGTTCCTCCAAAGTCCTCCTGAAACTCCCGCTGCGCGCTTTTTCTCGGCGACTGTTGGCCCGCTTTCCTCGCACGGCTTTCCACCTTGGGTGACATCATCTGAAACAGGACAAGAGGGAGCCAGTGAAATGAAAGTGCTTGATGGATGACTCACTCACCCTGAATGGAATGTTTAGCTTTCCTCACTTGGTCCTTCCACCCCCCCCCCCCTTTATTGTTGTTATGTCGCCAGTGGCTGCGGCTGAAATCCTTCATCACGATCACATGCTTTGATTTTCCTTTTCTTTTTCCATACGTATCAAAAGGGGCTTGTCTGCCCAAACATTATTTGGAGAAGGTCTGTTTTTCTCGGCCTTTTTGTCCCCACGCCAAGCCCGAGCGGTCTTTCCTCGGTGACCTCTGACCCCGCCCAGCTGCCCGCCGCCACCAACCACCACGACGCGTGATTGTATTCAAAGCAGGGCGCCTCTGGCCCCTCCTCCTGTTACATCACTGCTGCCACCCCACAGGCAGCTGCCGTCTGCATCCATATTTAACGACGCCCGTTGCATCAAGACCGACGCTAGCTTCAGTCAGACAAAAATCTTTGTGGATGGTCTGCTGTTTTTTTTTTTTTGTTTGTTTGTTTTTTTGGGGGGGGTGCAGTTTGGACTGCTGCCTCATGGTCTGTCATCACTTGAGGGAGCTCATGTGCCTTCTTGCTCTCTCTCTCTCTCTCTCTCCCCCCTAGGCATCTGGGCGCCGATGACACGGACGAGTCCAAGGGTAAGAAGAACGCGACGTTTGTGTTCTCCCCGTTTTGCAGCTCGACTTCCTTCTGCCTGGGTCAAACGCGCTCGATACGTCGACGCGGTTGCGAAAAGGTGTTTTGGCACTGCTCGGCTCCAACGTGAGGTCACGCGCCGTTCTATGGAGAGTCTGTTCGGTCTCGGCCAGCTCCGCTTGTCAACCAAATTGGGGACGTCCACCTGAGACGCCCGGTCGGCCTGCCTCGGCCCAAGACGTGGGACTTGAACAAGAACGTGCCGTCCAAACGTGAAACGCCCTCTCGCTGTGATTTCTTTCAGTTGACCGCAAGACTTGGGACAGGCCGACTTACACCGCCGAGATGTCTCGAAAGGTAAGCACATTTTTTTTTTGTTTATTTATTTACAGCGTGTGAACACAGTGCCACTTTTTTTTTTTTGTTCCATGTTGCGCACTTTGTGTGAATCGAGTGGAGTAAAGGACAATCAAGCAAACGTGAAAAGAATGAGCGCGAGTTAACGGCAAGACTTATTTGCAATTGGCGAGCTGATTTTCCTGACGGTCTTTTCCGCCGCAACCCGAGACGGCTCCGTTGAGAGCAAATCGAGCCATTCCAAGCCGTCCCGCACCTGGTTGCGCACTCGGCCCAAGTCACGAGGCGCTAAAACAGACCGTGGAGGTTCAGGACGCTGCGGTGGGGGAAATCCACTTCTGGAGCTCTGTGGACATTTGCGGACCAAACTCTGCACGCAAAAAGAAGAGGACCTTTTGGAGATTTTTCCCAGGCTGCTCCTGTTTCCAAAGCGGCGTCGGATGGAGATGCCACTTCTAGTTTGCCCTCGGCCGACCGGGAGCAGGGCCAAGCTTGGCCAAGTGAAGCCGGATGGAAACCCGAAGGCTGTCGTCAGTCTCTCCTCTCCTGTCCTGTCGTTGCGACCGGCCGCGACATCATCTGTCACCTACGGGTCATCGGAAACGGAAGGAAAACACTCGATGCGTCGGCGGCCGGCAAAGGCGCGTTTGACGAGACGCTTTTTGAATTTGGAGCGAGTTTGGGAGAGCCCGGTCAAGATCCGGAGGGCCGCACCTCCGCGCCGGATCGCCCGAGCGCCTCGGTCCACAAACTGACGTTTCTCACTTCACGTCCGAGCGTCCCTCGGGCGCAACGTGCGACCGGAAACGGAAATAACAACGGAAACCAAAGTGCGCCGGCGCGGCTTTATCTGGCTGCGAAATCCCTTTGCCCGGGGCGCCCTTTGAACTCTGATCAGCGGGGCCGACCCGCTACCTGGCTGAGACCGAAGGGCGGGGCCCTCGCTTGAAGTCTCCTTCCTTCTTTTAGGGGGTGGGGGTGTTGCGTTTTCACAGCTGCCGTCCGCCATTCAGAGCGGCCAGTGCAGGCTTCTCACGCTTCCTTTTGTGTCTTTCGTCCCAAAGGATCAGCGGGACGCAAGCCACGGCCGAGTGAGGCGTCACCGGGTCGACGACGGCGATGGAGAGGAAACCCCGAGCCGGTAAAGATGACAAAGATTGTTGAGCCTGTGGGAGAGTTTGCGTGGATGCTACGAGACCTACATTTGCGGGACAAATTAAAAAAATAAAATAAATATAAATAAAGCCGCTCGCTTTGAAATCAAAGAGCACACAAACTCTGGACCGGGCAAATAGATAACGGAGGTCATTCCAGGCCATCGAGTGCTCCGTCAAGAGCAAATAACCAGAGTGCCTGGACCTCCGCCAAGAAACCGAGCGGCGGCTTCGATCGCTGCCGCCTGTGCGCCGCGCGTGTCCGTGGCAAGGTTCACGGCTAATTCTTCTCTTTTTGTCCAGTTTGAACTCCAACTTTGCTCCAAACGCAACTACGCAAGGATTTCCGCGCGAGCAATTGATGGAGTTGTTTGCTATTCGAAAACCTTTTCTGAAATACTTTTCGAACCGTCATCCAAGACAACGGCAGTCAGTAAGCGTACGCTCCATTGACCCCCCCCCCCCCTTTTTTTTTTCTCGCTCTCTCTCCCCCCCTCACGACCGCTCTCGTTTTGATGGTGACTTTTGGGCTGTTTTGCTCCAGTTGAACGACAGCCGCGTTTTGCGTTGTAGTTCCGGCAACTTTCCCCCGGTCCCGCCACCAACTTCTCTTTTACGACTCGCGGAATAGCGGAATTCCAAAACGCTCCAACGGGACGTGTCGGCGCCGGGCCGCGTGCCAGGCTTCGCTCTGGCGTTCTTGTCCTCATTAGGACTGTTTACAGTCATCCCGGTCCCGCGCCGACATTGACGAGTGCCCGTTGCCGTTCCTGCGGTGCGTCGGGTGATTCATTAGCGAAGTAGGTTGAGGAATTTCTGTAAGCCTTGGAACCGAATAACACATAACAGATGCTGCGATAGCAGAAAAGGGGGCCGAAGCTCCCTGCCCACCCCGCGGCCCCCCTTTGCAGTCTTTTCCGATGCGTCGTCATGTCTCGGCAGCAATGTTTCCATTGAAGCGGGTCACGCGAGAGCTCACGTCTTTTCTGCGGCTTGCGTCTCTCCACAGCCAAGAAATGGAAGAGGAAGACGCCGTTGAGGTGCCTTCGTTGAAGGAGCGGCGCGAAGAAACCAGGGTGGGTTTTCCGGCGTTTTCTTTGAAGCCTTGCACGCGGCGCCCGTGTCTCGGCGCGTGCTTTTCTTCCCCGGGACCTCGGCGGTTTGCGTTTCCAATTGATGGATCGACACGGACGGCGTCATTGGTTGCGTGGACGGGAGGCGCGCGACTCTTCAAACGGAGCCTCGCGGCACCCTTCGTCTTCCGGCCAGCATTCCCCCTTTGAACCCGGAGGCCGCTCATGCGCAATGCCGTGCCGTGCGCGCCGCCTAACTCGTGACCTCTGAACTCCAGCGGGACGTCCGCTGCGCTCACGTCCTATCAGCGGTTGCATCTTGTTTTTCCAAGCACGGAGTCGTTAGCGTCCGGCTGACGCATCCGAACGAATGGCGCGTCTGCAACGGGCTTCTTTGGACTCGATGCAGCATGCGGTTGTGGTTCATGTGTGGAAAAGGCACGCTGTGATTTTGCGATCAAGAGACCCTCTTTCAATAACGCGCTTTCCACATCCAATTCAACCTATTCACTTCTTCATTCGTGTTATCTGTCAACCACTGGGAAATTCTCGTGTCACCTCACTTTGGGAAAGCTGACGAGAGGACCCGTTCGACCGGTTCTCCAAATTAGAGGCGCGGCGTGCTTGCTTCAAGCCGCGTGTCGCGCCCCGTTGACGTTCGCTCTGAAGACGAACACCATAAAGATTGTACACGCTATTGACTTGAATATCGGGGAAAAGTTCCTTGTTGCAGTCGCTCAATTCAAAACGTCAGACAGATTTGGCGGGCGTTAGGCCGAAAGCTCCCCCAAACGCTCGCTTGAGCAGCAGCAGCACAGACGTCAGATGACATTCCTTTTTTTGGTTTTTGCTCTATATCTAAAAAAAAACAAGAAATAGAATTCAGATTGTAAAATCCCATCTGAAAAAGAATGCTTCAAAATTTGCGCTGCAGCCGTGGGTCTGTCGTAATCCCACGTCACTGTCAGGCACCCCCGCCTAACCCCCCCTTCCATCCTGTGCCGGCACCTCTCTCATATAACCTACTAACCCAGAAACTCTTGAGTTACTGAAGCGGAGAGAGAGAGAGAGAGACTCCATTGTTGCCGCTTTTTGTTGACTGTTCCCTCAGCGTCCGGCTGTAAAAAGGGTGTTGTTTTCTGCAGACGCCCTCGCTGCAGCGCCAGGACTCCGGGCCAAAAGGCATCAAGGGAATCCTGAAGAAAAGCCGCTCCACCAGCGTGGAGTCCGACCAAAGCGAGGGAGCGCCGCTCCCACAGAGCGGCATCGCGCTCGGTGGCCCCGAGAGCCAAGACGCGGAGGATCGCGATCGGCCGGACTCGGAGGAAGATGCCGACGAGGAGGAACGCGAGCGAGACGACGACGACTCGTTTCCGGACGACGTCGCGGACGGGGGCGACCTCGGCGGCTCGGAGGACATGCGCAGCCCCTCGCCGGACGAGAGCCTGGACGCGACGTCGTCGGTGTCGGAGGACACCGAGGAGGCGGACAGCTTGGACGGAAGCCAGGGCTCCTCCACCAAACAGAGGTGCCGGAATCTTCCTCGTAATGTACAGCGTGTTCACCTGACGCCACCCAAAAGGGCATTTCCAGACACGCCGCTCAATATTGACGCCTCGGACGGTTTACCCGTCGGCTCGTGTGACGCGTCGAGTAGCGGCGGGTCTCCAGTTTGGGCTCTGAAAAATCGTTGACGCTCGCTTCTCAGCGCCGGTTTCATGCGGCGGTCTGCGCGTCTGCCTGGAGCTTTGGTGCCCCTCCGCAGCTTGTTTAGGAAAAGGAGGCGCACGCCGTGCGGACGGCGGTTGGGCCTCCTTGGCCCAAACCGTTTGGGCGTCACCATATTTGCTCACTGCGGCCCAAACGGATGCCGATCATCATTGAGGAAACGGCACGTCATGATGAGAAATAATGTTGAGACCAATCGCAATTGGACTTTTCTGCGTTTTGTCCTCCGGTTTCAGACTCGCCGAGTTCAGCGCCGGGGACGGCGAAAAGAGGGAATGGTCAAAGAAGCCCAAACCGTCGGAAGTGATTCAGACGTCGCTGGCCGATCGCTTCACCCAGCTCCACCATGCTGAGAACGCATGGAAGAAAAAGGTGACTTTTTTTTTTTTCTTCTCTCCTTCTTGCCGAAACACGACGTGAGCCGTGAGTTTAGGTTTCCGGGCAAACGGCTTCAGAAGCGACCGTAAGTGTCCGAGGGCTTTGCTGTGTCGGCTTTTTGGGGCCTTGTCAGGACTAGTGCGGACTTGGCTGTGGAAAAAGAAAATTGGCAGCGTGTTGTGAAAT